CAAAATCTACCTGAATGCTACTGTGCAACCTACTGAAGGAATCTGCTTTTGAAGGGGGTTGGACACAAGATCAAGGGATCTCAAGAGGTTCTTTCCAACTCCCAAGATTCTATGATTCTGTTATACTCTAAATATCTGTTCTCTGTAAGTCTGCAGGACAGCGGTATCTCAGAGATATTCTGTGCCTGATTACAGTATGGACCTTATCCTCCTGCTGCCATCCATCTCAAGGCTTCATTAGGCTCCCTTGAAAAAGTAGTTCATAATTTCTTTATCATAGTAGCAACACCAAAGTTCTTTCATTCTTTTGCACTTTGAACTATTATGTTACATTCCATTTCCAATTATCTTAGCCTTTCATAACATAGTCATAACTCCTCTTCTGTACTGATGTCACCATTGATTTTAAATAATATACTTCTGTTTTCTTTATAATCAAGTATTCCTTAAGAGGCAATAATGTCCCTTCAAACCTTTACTTTCTTTCTCATCTTACCTGTTATCTGGTGTTACTCACTCTCTCACCCTACTGCTGCATTTCAGTTTGGCTGTGATATTTCTTATGTAAATATTCATTCTTGTTTAATTCTTCTCCTCATATTCGCCCTAATTTTTAACAAAAAACTACAATCAAATACTAATTCAGTTTTTGTAACTCAGAGAGAATATGTTTAATTCCCACACCTCGATCAAGATGGCTTATTTCATTATTTTCTTAATTAAATACATAAATTAAGGCTTTTTGTTATCATACTGAAATGTTAAAATGGGAAATAGAATCTCTCTGAAAGATTCTCTGTTAAGAATATAGTGAGCCAATAAAAAACACACACAAAACCCTGGAACAATACACTGCAGTAACTGCAATCTCCAGAATACCAGGAAACAGAAATTAATACCAAAATTGTTGTTTTTGTAGTTGGGATCATAGTCACAAGAACATCTAGAGCCTGGATAAAGTAACTTCTAGTTCACCAATTTCTTCTATTTAAATTCCATCCTCAAAACAAGAAATTATTTTTCTTTCTCTACACTCATAATGTACAAGAAGTTATAGCTACCTTCACTTAAAGTTCCTGTCAATACAGCAAATAAAAATGATTATCTAAGACTATCTACTGACTGCTGTAAGCGCTATAGATATTTTCAAATAAGTATTTAAACATTCTGTAAGAAAAATAAAAATTATAAATGAATGGTACTACATTCTCCAACATCTATATTACTCTTTTTTTTTTTAGCATTAAAAATTTTAAAAATCCCCAAACTACCCCATGAACAACAAGCTCTTGGGTGAGCAAGACATACTTATTTCATTTACACTGAATTTACTGATGAACTCCAGCAGTGAAAAAATGCTATGTACCCACACATGGAAAAATGGCAAGAACTGCAGAATGATAAAAGTAGCAGTGCTATATTGTAAAGGCAAGGTAACAGTAATTAACATAGTAATCAAAAAGAAGAAACTAAACTCACATGTTACAAACAAATATACTCTAATGACATCAACAATATCAATTGCACTAACTGAAGGAGATTTGGGAAGTCAATAGACTTATCTTCACACCTACTGAAGATATAACTATAAATGTGGGAAAGATTAATGGCAGTCAGCAGGTCAAGGGAAGTGATCCTGACTCTCTAGTCTGCACTGGTGAGACCTCACTTGAAGTACTGTGTTCAGGTGTGGAGTCCTCAGTACAGACCTGAGGTAGAGTGCATCCAGATGAGAGCCACAAAAATGATCTTCATACTCTTTGCAATGTATTTATTCTTCTTTAAGTATAAGGTAGGAAAAACATCTTTTTTGGTTTTTTTTTGGTTGTTTTTTTTTTTTTTTTTTTTTTTTTTTGAAGTATGTCTGCTACTGACAAAATCTATCAGAAATATACTTGTGTTGTTAAATCACCAATCTTCAGGGGAAAAAAAAAAAACAAAAAACAAAAAAAAAGAACAACAGTTGAACAGATACAGATGTTCCTGATTATCTCAGGACACAAAAGGTAAAAGTATGTCCTTTCTTGCCAAAGTTTCTGGAAAATTCCAGTGAATTTAAACTGAGGTAATTAAAAAAACATTTTTTAACCACAAAGGAAATAATGTTTTAATCTACTGAAATTAGACTAGATTCGATCTAAGTCACAAAAATTTATAATATAGTCTAATAAACTATATTATAGTAAACTAAATAGTATATATATTATACTATATATACATATAGTACACTATATATATATATATAGTAAACTAAATAATATATATAAACTAAATAGGTTTATAAAAACTATTTCTAGTTGAAATATGGTCAAAAATATTGAGATAGATGCTGGCATGCTATACATTGTTATACTCTGTATTTTTTAAAGTAAAGGCAACAAAAATGTTACAGTAACATATCAGATTCTGTTTGACCTAACAATAGGCAAATACCAAAAGAAGCATTACAACAAAACAAAGTCATGAAGAGAACTTGAGGGAGACAAAATGTGAAAAAAACAATACATAGACTCACAAACTCAATATTGGAAAAGAAGTTAATTTGTTTATGTATTTATGCAGATAGATTCCAAGTAAATATTCAGGGAACTACAAAATTTGTCAGCTGGATCCATGTTACATTCAGGGAAATTGGCATGAATTCATTCATACGTGAAAGAAAGCAAAGGAATGTAGGTATGATTGAAAGGAGGACTGTTATCCTGTCTGATGTCACCATTTATACTTACAATCATGTGTAGGTTTTATTTCATGCAAAGCAGACTCTTCATTTTAGAGAGCAGTTACTGAGATAAATGTTGTAATTTATACTTATATGAGCATGGATAAACATAAAAGAAAGACTGCAAGTAGGATAATACTAAGAACATGAATATGAATTCTAGAAAAGGAGAAAATGGGGTAATAGCAATCTGGTTCTATTAGATAAGAATAAACACCTTGCCCCCAACATTGCCTGGTCGTTATGCCCAAGGCCTAGTGCATACAGTGAGGTGCAAAAGACCTTGTCCTCTGAACTGACGACAGTCAAGATTTTACCAGAGACAGTTAATGACCACCACACTGTCTCAAACTGTGTGCTTAGAGAACTAATAGCAGACCTCTACTTCAACAGAGCCAATTCTAAAATGTATACTATAACCCAGTCATCTTACCCCATAAGTACCAAGCAGCCTAAGAATCTCTTTGAGATTCCATCTTGCAAGCAGCTGGCTGCACACCAGAATCTCTCCTTGAATGGAGTCACCTCTTGAGGTTGAGGTTACTTAATGCTTGCACAGAGATTAAACTGAGACATAGTGACACCTTGCCAACAAATCCTCAGTAAGAGAGTTATTGTTTTTTAAAGCTACACTTGCTTGGCTAAGATTTGATCTTAGAATTTTGCATCCTCCACCCGATAGCAAATAGTGAAAGATATGTAGCCATTTTGAATCTTGTTAAGTCACTGTCATCACTGTTCAAGTTACCATGTTATATCTATTTTATATCAACAAATATCTTTCTGCTTTCCTCTTACAAGCAAAGTGTGCAGTGAACATGGGAATAACATTTGTAATTAATCTCACAGTGGTATTTCTTTAATGCTCTTTTAGATATTCTTGTTGGATTACAAAAATACACAAGGAATGTTTAGTACAACTAAAACACCATAGGATGCTGATAGTCTTTATGAAAGGATTCCATCTTATTTTGGGCTGTTTAATAACAACAGCAAAGATAACAGAACAACAGTAATAAAGGAGTGCAGTGTACATGAAATATACATGAAAGCCAGACGCTTCACAAGAGAATGCATCTGTCCAGGACTGGGACTGAAAGCATTAAGCTCCTCCTTCCTCATGTGAAAAATATTTGTATCTGTGATGAGCTGAGGGACATAGCAGCTAGGCATCCACACAGCTGCTTACTTCCCACCTCCAGCAGGACAGATGAGAGACCTGGGAAAGTGCGAAAACTTGCAGGTCAGGATAAATATATAAATTATCTTAAAAGCAAAAGAAAGAATGCTTGGTGCAAGCATTGGTCAGCAACCAAAACACTGATGCATTATTTATACTGGTCTAGTCACAAACTCAAAACACAGCACTGTATGGCTACATGAAGGAAATTAACTCCATCTCAACCAGACCTGGTACAGTATCAGACTGTATGTTACCTATAGGCATTTTCAAAATGCACAAATTTGAAAGGGTTGGACCAAATGAAAAAGTCAGTTGAAGGAGGAACGAAGAAACTGATGGGGGCATTCAGACTAAGGATGCACAAGAATTTAAAACATTTTTGGGCAATTTATTATTATTGACTTGTGATGCTTGAACACTTATTTGACTGAATATTTGACTAATTGCTAACCTTTCTCAAGTATATTGTTTACTGAAGTTTCATTAAATTGCACTTTATTTTCACATATTTCCCAAAGTCCAGGACAATCTCCTCTGCTATCTTATTTCATATATGCTTTATGAACTACTGTCTAAGTGTGTGAGATGTGGCAAGATTCTACAATCAAAAATACAACGGAGGAGAGTATACTCTGCCAAAAATCTGGCGTCAATATGAGTTTCTACATGGCATAGTCATGATGATTGTGCAGTATGTTATCATTTGTAAAGAAAAAGGAATGTTAACTGACATTATCAAAACCTGAGAATAAAGAATTATTCTATTACAGAGATACAGAGTGAAATGTTTGTATCTTAAAAATTAATTCAAGTGATGGCAAACTTAATGTCTGTGCAAACTGCTGATGCTAACTGAATTCCCAAGATAAAATAGGTTATGGAAACATATTTGTGGGAGCTACATTTATGTTCCTTTTTTTTACTTTCTCTTTGATAATCACCACATGGTGTTAATCTCAAGAGAAAATGGACTGTACAGCTTTAATAACATGACTTTCATATCTCCACTCAAAGAGTTCACACATAACCTATACTTCACAGCAAAATATTATGTACAGCTAACCCATGCAGTGCTTTCCTTTTTAGATTACAAACCTCAATTTATCTGTTCCAGTTTTGTACCTCGAGATTCGAGCCATTGACAAAGGAATTGATAAGGTGTCTAGCCAGCGCTTTTCGTATTTTGGTTCATTAGCTATGGGCGAAGAAGGTGATGATGGAGCCTGTACAGAACAAATGAGAATCAGTAAGTACAGTCTACAAGACAACACAGCACAAAATCCATGAATATGCCTCTCTAGCTCTGCTTGTCTCAGAAATGAACAATACATGCAATAAAACCATTCAAGAAAATCAAGTTTTAATAGAGAAATAAAAATAATCATTTATGTAGAAAGAAACTATGGCTACCTTGATACTATGCTTGTCCATTTTAGTATTGCCTTTACACTAAATATATTTATGTTTTTGTTAATATTTATAACTGACAATAAGAAGGATTTGTTTTAATCACACCCGTGTTGATTTTTTTGCTAAACACAACATAAAACACTTTTTTAGTTTAAACTAATTTTATCTGTGCAACCCCTTAACATGTCTCAAATAATCATCAAAGAAAAAGACACAATAATATCTCAATGAAAGGACTATAGTAGTTGTTAAGAAGACTGGTTTATTATTTATTTAACTGACTTTTATTCGTAGTGTTATTTAATAGTTGAATTAAAATTCTGAATTCTGTGATACCTCTATCCATGTATGAACTGCAGAATTTTGAAATTTCTCCTCTGAAGTTTCCTTTCAAATGCTTCTAATTGAAAGACAAGATTGCTGATGCTATCTAAGCAGTACGGAATATCCTGATCTCAGAACAGTGAGAACTCACTTCTATGATCTACTTAATTCATGTTAGTAAAACATATAAAAGAAAATAAAACAAACGTTTACAAATGCCATTGCAAATTACACTAGAGGAATTGGCCCATATATTAGTTAACTCTGGAGTAGAGATTATATAGAGATGGTTCAACCTGTTTAGTCATTCATGCATCTTATGCCTTGCAACTAACTATTTAACTAATGCATGAAGGCAACACAGTATAAAATGTGTTTAAAATAAAATATTTATAAAAGTTCAAAAGTTGTTATAGAACTAAACACTAAAACTTGCAGGGAACTTCAAAGAGATATACATCTTAGTCAATATATAGCTGCATAATATGCAGTTTGTGCCTTCTGAATAATACCCATTTACACCAGCCTATCAGGGACTGAAAGTACAGAATCATGTCCAAAGTGTGAAGAAGCAAAATTAAAGGAAAAAGGGGTAAAAAATGAAAAATGAAAAAGGAAAAAGGAAAAAGGAAAAAGGAAAAAGGAAAAAGGAAAGAAAAAGTGACAGAGAGACAGAGACCAACTAAGGGACAAAGAGAAATAAATGATGGTAACTGGCTTTGTTTGTAAATGATTTCAAAACAGTTTCTACAGATAAAGATCAATTAAATTAGGAACAGATTAGAAAATGATGGAAACTAATGCTCAGTGTACCATTCAAAATTTATGATCGTGATTATGAGCATAAAAAGGCTTATTGAATGAACAATATAATGAGGTAGGAGTTTCTTACTAAATGCATAAAAATAATAACGCTGAAATTTACATTAATATTTACATCTCTGCAGTACCAGAATACCTGCATGTTTAACTTCATAAAGTTAGTTGTTGTAGGCACAGAGAGGAAAATGAGGAGAATTCAGAAATACAAATTCAGGTAAAAGTCAGGCATCTGTGCTATCTATATCTGAATTGAAATTTGTCCCAGCTTGTACAGAGAATTTAGAGGTAGAAAAGTAGATTATCTTTTTAAGAGCCATAAACATGTAATGAGTAGCACTTACAAAAGCAAATAAACCATACAATGATCCAACTTCAGTTCTTTCATACTCAGGTGTTAAAAACCATAAAATTTACTCAAAATACAAATCATTCTGGGAATTGCTTTATTTATTCTTCCTGCTTATAAGGTTTTAGGGTTGTGTTTTTCCTAAAGCTCTTTCTTACAGTAATCAAGGGTTGATCTTTCTATTTATTTATTTAAATTTAAAAAAGCCACTGACTTTCAGTCTCTAACAAGATGACTGAGAGTAATTGAGGAACACTTCTCTAATTAATGCAAAATGAGTAACAAAATTGCCAGAATTGGTAACACAAAACTATCTCTTAGACAGCAAATCCTTCAGGGAAAATAGTTTCATTTAGGATATTTACAATGCCTAGAACAATCCAGCTTTCATTTGATTGATGTGTCCTGATGTTGTAGCAGCATAAATATTTGATAATCAAGTCTGAAAACTAATTCTATGTCCTAGATCTAGCCACAAAAAACTAAGGTGTCTTTAAAACTTAGTTTTAACTTGGTAATATCATGGTGAAGAATCTCATGCATATTTTGGTCTCTGCACAGATAAAACTCATTGGCAGAACTGCAAGAAATCCAAAGCTACAAGTGACCAGTACAATCTAATATTCAGAAAGTTCAGAAACGGAAATGTCTAAGAATAAAGCAGAAGGTAGCCTGTTCCAATCAAACATAAATGCTTAAATATGCTCATTGAATTTAAATCCAGGAATCAGAAGATAAAGTAACATAAAATTTGCCAAAACATCTTCACCTATTTCTCCCATCCATTCCACTCTCCATATATATATAATATCTAGATAATTTATATATAAAAGACTGTTTCATAAAAAATTTCAGTTGTTCTTTTAAGAGGCTATCAATGTAGTATTTTAGTGTGGTCTCTTATAATTCAGTCAAATGCTTTAGTAGGACACCATTGTAAAGAAGAAATTTCTTCATGTAGGTAATGATCAGAATCTTCAAAAATCCTACACTGGATTCATTAATTAAAAAGAAGAAATGGGCAAAAAATCTTTTAAGGTCAACATCTTTTAAACTCAAAATTATAATGCTGCAATAGTACAGTACAGTATTCTTACCAAAATGCTAAACTTGTCAAACTGATGTAAACTCCTAAGGAAATCTGGCCTTGTAGAACATTTCAAAGTTTTGACATCAGATAAGCACATCAGAAATTGTTTTTCACAGAGGATTCCTCCACACCCACAGCCCCTCCCAAGGTCTATACTACTTGTACATGCAGGATCCCTGCTGCGTGATTTGGCCAGAAATGACCAAGAGCTGCAAAAGGATAGAAAGCAGTCAAGCTGGTCCAAGTCTCAAATGTCCATTTCTTACTAAGCCATATTCTACTAATGAGTTCATGGTAGTGCAGAAAGTAGAAACCTCTTTATCTTGGGTAAGGACAAAATATACAAAACATATCCATGGCCAAAGGGCCACTGCACAACAATTAAATAGATAGATCCAGCAGTTCAATTTGTTCAATTTGCCCTATAATCTACTAGCACTGAAATCTGAGACAGATTCTTCAATGCATTCTTCAAAGCACATGGATAAATATAACAAACTTGGGAAGAAGCAAGCCAAATGTAACTTCTGCAAACAGAGCTCACACCTTATTAGTCTTCTAGAGTTGCCCAAAGCAATCAGTAAATATGAGAGGACCAATCACTAATGCATACTTGGGCTGACAAAAAACATTTGTCCCCCACAAAGGTTTCTTAACTGATTTACTATGAAGTAAAGCAAAGCCCTTTACTATTAACTAAAATAAATCAAGCAAAACACTGCAGTCAGTAACTAGTTTTCACTATGCAGGGCACTATCAGGGGAATCCCAGATATATATGGCTGGAATTATCACTGATTAATCACTGATTTATCATTGATCAGTGATCTGGATAAAATGGTAAGCAATAGACTAAGTTTACTGCACATAAGAAGTAATGAAGAAATGTCAGTGGTTTCAGGGCTGGTTTGGCCTGTAAAAAAAATCAAACTGCAAACTGCAGCAGAGTAAGCTCATGTTGCTGAATGACTAAGAGATAAAGGACTGCTAAAATATTATAGATAAATATACAATACACATGAGGAAAGATAACATTAACTTTACTGTAACAGAAGATGAACAGATGATTAACATTCAAAAATAAAATCTTGCTGCTGCAGGAAAAGCAAATATTGAAAAGTATGGAATGGTTTCCATGCAAATAACGATTAAGCAAACAAAGATTAATTAGACTGGAAAAGAAGCAGCTGACATGACTGTATGAGAAATGTATATAAAAGTGAAAACACAGAGAAAGGGACTATGAAATAATGGCTCACTTTCTATTAAAATACAGTAGGAACCTAATATACAGTAAGGGTAGAAACAAAGAATACATTTCTTTATGTAAAAATCTCTGGCTCCAGAAGTCCCTATATAAGAATTCTTTGGAGGGGAAGAGAATATACTGCATAAATCATTCTACATATTCCCTCTATTCTTGGGTTGTCTTGAGGACATCTGCTGAGGATGACCTTTTTGTCTAGATGGCCCATTTGTCTGACTCAGGGTACTGAGATGGCTTGAATTTCAAGCCTTTTGTTCTACTAAAAAGCTGCTGCTTGTGTTCCCCACACCAGTCCTCCAAAAAAATTAACAAAATGTGGCTACACAGAGATCATCTCTGCAATCACAGCATTTATCCTCTTGTTCATTTCACACCTTTGGATTTCTACTGAGATCACTAACAATGCTGCCAATTAATGCCAATTTATTTGTAACACCTGCCCATTAAGAAATGGATTGAATACAAAATTCTCATTTCTGACAGAACACTGAACAAGGATCAGTTTATAATGACACATAATCACTGCCCACCTGGGACAGCTGTGTACTGCTGCCCTGGAGGAGGAACTGATCTTATATCCCATTAGCAATCACTGACCTATGAAGGACAATATGGACAAGGACTTTTTTGCTTTTTTAAATATATTCTACAGCTACGTATTACGAGACAATCAAGAAGTAATACCATAAGTAGAATGAAAAGTCCTCCATTAAGTAGAAGTAATCAGATATGTCTCTGTAATTAATCTTCTGCCAAGAATATAGAAAAGAAGTAAACAGATCATAAGTGGCTGGGATTTCAACTTTTTGACTTCAAATATAATTCATAGGGCTTAGACAACTCAGTTATTTTACCTTACAATTTATTTTATTTACTCATTAAATGTAAAACCTCTGCAAGAAAAATGTCATATTCTCAAAGAGAAACACTTTTGAATTCTCCCCAGTAATTTAGTTTGCAGCTTC